AGTTCCTATCTCCAGTATAAAAAATATTGAATGATCTTCCTACTGGAAATAACTAGGAGTGGAGAAAAGTTTTTTTTTAATTATATAGTAATAATAATTACTATCATAATTTTGCTATATATATATGCTTGTGGGTTTTTTTTTTTTTTGGAGGGGTTGTATTGGGGATTGAACTTGAACCTAGGGGCCACTAGGGGCCACTGAGCCACAACACATCCCCAGCCCTTTTTTATATTTTATTTAGAGATGGGGTCTTGCTGAGTTGCTTAGGGCCTCATTAAGTTGCTGAGCCTGGCTTTGAACTCATGATCCTCCTGGCTCAGCCCCCTGAGATGCTGGATTACAGGCATGTGCCACCATGCCTGACTGGTGTTATTTTTATACAGGGAGGTAACAGCTTTGCAGCAAAAATAAGGAACAATTCAATAATAAAATTACATCCAAATTCTTCAATTTAAAAAGAATATTTGTTGGGCTGGGGATGTGGCTCAAGCGGTAGCGCGCTCGCCTGGCATGCGTACGACCCGGGTTCGATCCTCAGCACCACATACCAACAAAGATGTTGTGTCCACCGAGAACTAAAAAAATATATATATATATTAAAAAATTCTCTCTCTCTCTCTCTCTCTCTCTCTCTCTCTCTCTCTCTCTCTCCCCTCTCTCACTCTCTCTCTTWAAAAAAAAAAGAATATTTGAGAAAGCAAATTTCTCCTACTTCTCAACACAAGTACAATTCCATGTGTTGATCAATTAGAAAGAGACTATATACTTATTTAGGTATGGAATTCCTGTTCTTAAACAAATATTTTCTAGCCAGGTGTGGTGACACACTCCTGTAATCCCAGTGGCCTCAGCAATTTAGTGAGACACTCAGAAATTTAGCAAGACTCCGTCTCTAAATAAAATACAAAAAAAAAAAAGGGCTGTGAATGTGGCTCAGTGGTTAAGTACCCCTGGGTTCAACCCCTGGTACCAAAAAATAAAAACAAAAAACCCCAGAAAAACACAAAAATATTTTCCAGACATCCATGTAGGCATATGTAATTATCCTTCCCTAGAAGAGTTCCTAAATAGCAAGTTTTTGTTTTTTCTCAACAGTGGATATTAGTTATCTTCACAAAAGCAGAGGATAAGAAAACCAAGCAAAGTGTTCAATTCTTGATTAAGGGCTCAGAAAGCATCTGTCTGTCATACATATTTTGTCCTTGTTCCCAAGGAAACACATTTGGATTCTTCTTTACTGGAGCTTTTGTATCAAGCTCATTACCTCCAGATTCTTTTTTTTTTTTTTGGTTGATTGGACCTTTATTTTATTCATTTATTTATATGTGCTGAGAATTGAATCCAGTGCTTGCTACACAAGCTCTTTACTACTGAGCCACAACCCCAGCCCAAATTCTATCCATTTTTAAGAAAATATTTAATTATGAAAATAACCCAAGGTCTTAGGATATGGCTCAGTGGTACAGTACTTGCCTACCATGTACAAAGACTTGAACTGGGTCTCTAGCACCACAAAACAAACAAAACAAAACCCTTCAAAACCACAGGGAGGGTGTGGTCACACATGCCTGCAATCCTAGTGACTCGCAAGGCTGAGGTAGGAGAATTACAAGTTTGAGGCCAGCCTCAGCAATTTAGCATGGTCCTATTAATAACTTAGAAAGACCCTGTCTCAAAATAAAAAATATAAAAGGGCTGGGGAGGTGGCTCAATGTCTGAGCACCCCTGGGTTCAAAAAACAAATCATAAAAAACCCTCAAATCCTTAACAACTGATGATTCAGTCTCTTCCATGCAGACCTTAACCCAACTTCCTAGATTTAATTGAAGCAGTTTTTGGAATTTTATGTATTTTTCCATGTATATATTATGAATCCTGAGTGTGTGTGTGTGTGTGTGTGTGTTCTCTAGAAAACTCATGTCATTTCTGCTTTGACTATAAACATCAGGTATTTTTAGTTTTTGTGTAAAAATCCCATTTAAAATCCATTTCTATATTCTGGACCATATCTCTTTTTACATGTTAAGCATTTAAAAAAAATCATTTCTATTTTAGCAGCTTAAGTGCTCAATTCAGAGATGCAACTAGGAAAAAATTGTATTTGCACTGATGACAGCAATTTTCCTTTCACTCTCTAGTTCTGTTCTCCCTGCTGTGCTGCTGAGAGAAAGAGGAAAGATCTGGGAACCACCCTATATAACAGGAGACCCGTTAGTCCTCTTCCCTTTTGGGGGAAACATCTTTCCCAATTTTCACTGGCTGGATGCATCCCCCTGCAAATGTGTCCTGGAGCAAACTATGCACATGAATAGTACCTATCCATAACAGTGAACAGATATTTCTGTTTCATCATGTTCATATAAGTGGATCTTACCTTTCTGAACAATTTTTTAAATATTTATTTTTTTAGTTGTAGTTGGACCCAATACTTTTATTTTATTTATTTTTATATGGTGCTGAGGATTGAAGCCAGGGACTCACATGTGCTAGGTGAGCACCTTACCACAGAGCTACAACCCCAGCCTCTCTTAACAATTTTTTTATGGTTTGCTTGAAAAGGCTTTTTTCACAATGTAAAATTATAAAAATGCTGTCCATGTTTTCTTCTAGTTTCTTATGATTTAATCATCACACTTAACATATTGATTTATATATGAATTTTAATTTTTTTGATATCAGTTACTCCTTTTTACTTTCCTATTGATCATATAGATAATTAATTTTCAACAGAAGTAATACTATACTCCACTTAACTGATCCACCTAAACTCAAAAGTAAAGTAGGGTAAATAATTTTATTATGTTGGTCCTTTGTATCCTCAGATGAAGAATTGAAGTTAGATTAGATGGCTTCAGTGATGCTTCTGTCTGGGCAGGCAGACTATGACTGAGAAAAGATTTCATGATCTTACTCTATGAAGGCACGAGGCACATAACACAAGACAGCACTTTCACATAATAACTTTACTTCTCCTTTTCTTGATGTGAGTACAGTGAGTGAGGGCCTGGCCATCATATGATAGAAGATTTATCTGATTGCTTTTCTATTGCTGAGTTGCTTAGGGCCTCACTAAGTTGCTGAAGCTGGCTTTTCTATTCCTGATCATTACTTACAAAAAAAAAAAAAAAGAATAATTCTGAACAGGCTACCTGTGCCTATTTTCAAGAATGACCTGGATTTATATTTTTTCCCTTTTGATCTTTTTGTTTGTTCTTTGTGTTTGTATGTGTGTGTGTCGGGGGGTGTTGGAGATTGAACCCATGGCCTTGTGCATGCTAGGCAAGCATTCTACCACTGAGCTATACCCTCAGTACCATGGCCTTCTAATTAATATGATGCCAATATATTTGTTGTTGTTTGCTCTTTCAGTGTTGGTCCTCCTGAGTCTTACCCTCGGAAAGTTAAGGAAGGAATCATTAAGGACCAAAGATCAGAATTAATTTCTAGTGTTTTCTGTTTCTTAATCTCATATTGGGATGTTTGGCACTTCCATTTCTTTTTCTGGGACTTAAATACCACAATTTGCTGCAACTCTCCTTTTCATACTTCATATAGTTTTTTGTTTTGAAGACAGAGTCTTGCTAAATTACTTAGGACCTTGCTAAGTTGCTGAGGCTGGTCTCAAACTGGTCTCAAACTCCTGAGTAGCTGGAATATATAATTTTAAATGCAGAACAAAACAAGAATGCATTATGGTTTGAGAGAGTATCCCAAAGGCTCATGTGTTAAAAGCTTGGTTTCCAGTCTATGGCACAATTGGGAGGTGGTGGAACCTTTAGGAGGGGAGCCTAGAAGGAATAGGTCATCAGAAACATGCCCTTGAAGGAAGTATGAGGAATTGGCCCTTCCCTGTCTCTTTCTTTGCTTCCCAACTATCATGAAGTAAATAAGCCCTTTCAACCACACGATTCCATTGTGGAATGTGCCACCACAGGTCCAAAGCAACAGGGCCAAATGGGCTTAAGCCTCTGAAGTTGTGAGCCAAAATAAACCTTTCTTCCTATAAGTTGATTACTTCAGATATTTTATCCTAGCAACAGAAAGCTAACAGAGTGCTTTTCTTAGCAACTTACAAATGAGTTATTCTATCACATTATACAAGGAAGCATCCTTAATTTGCTTCTGTTATCTGCCTTGCTATTTCTTATGGGGGTAACAGTCCTAGGGTTCCAGAACCAGTTTCCAATGTACAGTTGCCCTGTGTGTGGGATACCCAGGTTGGAAGCCAGAAGACAGAGTAGTGTTTCTTTGCAGTCAGATTGGGATTAATTTCTAAGCCACACAAAGGCATTGCTTTTTGTAAATCATGAACAATTCATCTTATGCATTTGAATAAATTGATTTCAACTTGTTTCAAATAAAAAATAAACAGACAAATGCAAAAATGATACAGAGGTATAGTCATCTATTTTCTATTTGTTTTAGAAATTAGTGGTTCTAGAGAAGTTTCTACTTAGGGAGAAATATGTATTCGTCTCCTATGCTTATAAGGTCCAGAACAATGATTTCAATCACATTTAAATCACTAATTAAGGGAGCAGGGGTTTTTATAAACTGCAGCTAAAATTGAGAGTGATGCTGTGATTTACTAAAAGCAACTCTCACTGAAACCTAGGCAACAAGAAGGACAGCAGGTGACTGGAATATTTCTAACTCCTAAGTGGGTAGTGTCTCTATTGGTAGCACAGCCACCAATTCATCTGAGACTCAGGGAGGCTGCTGATTTACTTCAGGCAGTGAGATGAGAACCCTCTGTAGAGATACCTGCCCTGAGACAGCAGGGTTACCTGGTAAAGGATTAGTGCTTCACCAAAGGCATTGTGGGACCAAAGATGTAGATCCCACTGCCCATCTCTTTAGGGCTAACCTCATGCACCCACATCTCATGTGAAACACTATGTGGAATCACACTCCTGGAAACCTGGCTAGGGTTAGAAAGTTCATGTTCACCATTTGCCAATACCTTCTGCTGATAAATACAAACATGAGAGACTCACATGTCTTAGCCACATTCTCCAAAGAATCCAAAATAGATTGGCTTCTTGAACTGAGATGTTCCTCAGACTTTTCCACAGACGTCTGCAACTAAGAAACCCAAAATTAAGAAAACATTCACAGACTGTTGCCTTATTTTACTAACTTGGAGAATTGTCATTTAATGATCAATAAGGGTATTTAAAAATTGTGATTCTACAAGAACTAAAGACAAGACAGTATAGTTACTAAACTTCTTAAGATGTAAGATGCTCTAACTCCTTAAAATGTAGCTATACTTACCCTATGAATGCTTTCTCTGACCTGGGAAACAAAGTTGTATAGAGTCTCACTAGAATAGGAGAAAAAGAAAAACAACAAAGCTTTGTGAAATATTGAAACAACATGTAACAGAATTGATTCCATGAATATGGCAGGTGTCCATCTAGTATAGCATCAAAATACTGATCAGAGTTGGTGATTCAACCTGAGAAACTTCAGTGCCAGCTGGGGGGAATGTTAATTCTCCTTTTAAAAAAGGAGAATGTTAATTGTGACTGTTTCCAAGGCAAATCACATTTTTATTTTTAAAATTAACAATATATATATATATCTTAAATAAGAGTGAATTCTAGCAACAAAGTAGTTACTAGAGAAGGAAAGACCACCTTTCATTTTTACATCAACACTGGCTTCAGCAGTAGTGYTTTTTTTCTAGTAGTCCAAAATTCCTAAACACATCTTTGTCTTACCATTATGTTGACCAAAATAATGAAATTAATATACAGACAATTCTAGGGAAAATATTAATTTTCAATGAAAAAGAAATTATGACATATTTCTCAAATAAACATTCCATTCCTTTTTTTTCCAGTACTAAGGATTGAATCCAGGGTCTTACACATGCTAGGCAAGTGGTCTACCACTGYGCTACATCCCCAACTCTTTTTATCTATCTATCTATCTATCTATCAATATATCTATCTATMTATTTTATTTTGACCCAGGATCTCATTAAGTTGCTCAGGCTGAGTTCAAGCTTGCAATTTCCCTGCCTCCACCTTTGGAGTAGCTGGGATTATAAGGCATATGCCACCATGCCCTGCTAAATATCATATTCTTAAAAAGATGAAGACATAGACTGTCATTAATGAAATTCTACAGATTTTGCTTCTTTAATCTATAAAACACAAATAAAAAATCAAATTTTGATATCCAAATATGACAACTCTTCATATTAATTTTGTTAGCTATTCTGTAAGACCGACTTTTTTTTTTTAAGTTGTTAATCAACTTTTATCCCATGTTAGGCAAGTGTTCTACCATTGAGCTACAACCTCAGCCCCAAGACTGACTTTTTAACAGAAGAATTTTCATAACTGGGAATGTAATTCAGTGGTACAGTACTTGACTACCATGTGCAGGACCCTGAGTTCTATTCCCACCAAAAAACCCAAAAAAATCTAGAACCATATTCTCCATGTGAGAAAGATTGGGATATTGCTTGAAAGCTTTAAAATGAAAAAAGTAAATTAAGAATTTAAGAAGTGAAAGTTGTTATATTATAAAAGCAGAGAACGAGAAATAGTACCTAGAAATTAGAAATTAAAAATAGCAGAGGGCTTGGGCTATAGCTCGTTTTTTGAAAAAATAAATAAAATTGATAAACTCTTAGCCACCCTAATGAAAAGAAGAAGAGAGAAAACTCAAATTACTAAAATTCATGATGAAAAAGGAAATATCACAACAAACACTATTGAAACACAGAAGATAATTAGAAACTATTTTGAAAATTTATACTCTGTTAAAATAGAAAATCCTAAAGACACTGACAAATTTCTAGAAACATATGATATGCTCAAACTTAATCAAAAGGACATACATAATTTAAACAGATCAATTTCAAGCAAGGAAATAGAAGACTCCATCAAAAGCTTACCAACTAAGAAAAGCCAGGGACCAGATGGATTCTCAGCTGAGTTCTATAAGACCTTCAAAGAAGAATTAATACCAATACTCTTCAGGTTATTCCATGAAATAGAAAAGGAGGGAACCCTACCAAACTCATTCTGTAAGGCTAGTATCACTCTGATTCCAAAAGACACATCAAGGGGCTGGGATTGTGGCTCAGTGGTATAGCACTCGCCTAGCATAAGGCTCTGGGTTCGATCCTCAGCACCACATAAAAATAAATAAATAAAAGATATTGTGTCCAACTAAAGAAATAAATTTTAAAAAAGAYACATCAAGGAAAGAAAACTTCAGACCAATATCCCTGATGAACATAGTGCAAAAATTCCCAGTAAAATTCTGGAAAATAACATACAAAAACATATTGATAGTACACCATAATCAAGTAGGGTTCATCCCAGGGATGCCAGATTGATTCAACATACAAAAATCAATAAACATAATTCATCACATCAGTAGATTAAAGACAAGAATCATATGATTATCTCAATAGATGCTAGAAAGCATTTAACAAAATACAGCACCTCTTCATGTTCAAAACACTAGAAAAACTAGGAATAGTAGAAACAACATACCTCAACATTGTAAAMGCTATCTATGCTAAGCCCAAGGCCAACATCATTCTAAGTGAAGAAAAATTGAAAACATTCCCTCTAAAAACTGGTACAAGAGAGGGATATCCTCTTTCACCACTTCTATTCAACAGTCCTTGAAACTTTAGCTAGAGCAATCAGACAGATGAAAGAAATTAAAGGGATACAAACAGGAAAAGAACTCCAACTATCACTATTTGCTGATGACATGATTCTATATTTAGAAGATCCAAATAATTCCACAAGAAAACTTCCAGAACTAATAAATGAATTCAGCAAAGTAGCAGGATATAAAATCAATATCCACAAAATCAAATGCATTTCTATACATAAGTGATGAATCCTCTGCAAGAGAAATTAGAAAAACCACCCCATTCAGGATGGCCTCAAAAAAAAAAAAAAAAAAAACACTTGGGAATCAATCTAACAAAAGAGGTAAAAAACCTCTATAATGAAAACTATAGAACACTAAAGAAATTGAAGAGACCTCAGAAGATGTAAAGATCTCCCATGCTCTTGGATAGGCAGAATTAATATAATCAAAATGGCCATACTACCAAAACCGTTATACAGATTAAATGCAATTCCTTTAAAAATCCAATGACAGGGCTGGGGATGTGGCTCAAGCGGTAGCGTGCTTGTCTGGCATGTGCGGGGTGCTGGGTTCGATCCTCAGCACCACATAAAAATAAAAGATGTTGTGTCCACCAAAAACTAAAAAATAAATATTAAAAAATTCTCTCTCTCTTAAAAAAAATTAAAAAAAAAATCCCAATGACATTCTTCATAGAACCACAAAAAGCAATCATGAAACTCATTTGGAAAAATAAAAAGACCCAGAATAGCTAAGGCAGTCCTTAGCAAGAAGAGTGAAGCAAGAGACATAACAATATCAGACCTTAAACTATATTACAGAGCAATTGTAACAAAAATAGCATAGTATTTACCAAAATAGACATGTAGACCAATGGTAAAAAAGAGCAGACACAGAGACAAACCCACATAAATATGGTTATTTCATACTAGACAAAGGTACTAAAAACATACATTGGAGAAAAGATAGCCTCTTCAACAAATGGTGCTGGGAAAACTGGAAATCCATATGTAGTAGAATGAAATTGAGCTTCCGTCTCTTACCCTGCACAAAAATCAATTCAAAGTGGATTAATGACTTAGACACTAGAACAGAGACCCTGGGCCTAACAGAAGAAAAAGTAGGCCCAAATCTTCATCATGTTGGCTTAGGATCTGACTTCCTGAACAAGACTCCTAAAGCACAAGAAGTAAAATCAAGAATCAATAAATGGGATGGATTCAAACTCAAAAACTTCTTCTCAGCAAAAAAAAAAAAAAAAAAAATCAATAATATGATGAGAGTGCCTACAGAATGGGAAAAAAATCTTTGCCACACCCACCTCAGACAGAGCACTAATATCCAGGATATATAAAGGACTTAAAAACTGGGCCAGGGGCTGGGATTGTGGCTCTGCGGTAGATCGCTCGCCTAGCATGGGCGGGACCCTAGTTCGGTCCTCAGCACCACATAAAAATAAAGGCATTGTGTTAAAAAAAAATGTTAAAAAAAAGGAAGAAAAAGAAATCTTAAAAAAAAAAAAAAAACTGGGCCAGAGTTGTGACTCAGTGGTAGAGTGCTTGCCTAGCATGCAGGAGGTACAGTGTTTAATCCCCGGCACCACATTAAAAAAATAAATAAAATAAAGATATTGTATCCATCTACAACTAAAAAAATATTTTTAAAATACCTCAAAAACATAATAGCAAAAGACCCAAATAACCCAATGAATAAATGGGCTAAGGAAATGAACAATTTACAGAAGAAATATAATCAATCAACAAACATATGAAAAAATGTTCATCATCTCTAACAATTAGAGAAATGCAAATCAAAACTAAGATTTCAATTCACTTATCAAGAATACAAGCAATAATAAGTGTTGGCTAGGATGTGGGGGAAAAGGTACACTCATACTTTGTTGGTGGAACTGCAAATTGGTACAACTACTATGGAAAGCAGTATGGAGATAAATACCTCAGGAAATTTGGAATGAGTTCACCATTTGACCCAGCTATCCCGCTCCTTGGGTTTATACCCAAAGGACTTAAAATCAGCATACTACAGTGACTCTGCCACATCAATGTTTATAGCAGCTCAATTCACAATAGCTAAACTATGGAACCAAYATAGATGCCCTTCAACAGATGAATGGATAAAGAAAATCCGGTGCATATACTCAATGAAATATTATTCGGCCTTAAAGAAGAATAAAATTATGGCATTTGCAAGTAAATGGATGGAACTAGAGAATATCATGCTAAGTGAAATAAGCCAAACCCCCCAAAACAAAAGCTGAATGGTTTCTCTGATAAGTGGATGCTGATCCATAGAGGGGTCGGGGGATGGGAGATAGGAAAGAATGAAGGAACTTTGGTTTGTGTAGAGGGGAGTAAGGGGAGGGGTGGGTTATGGGGATGGGGAGGACAGTAGAAAGAAATGAACATTATTATCCTATTTACATGTATAATTACACTACTGGAGTAACTCTGAACTAAGTACAGACTGAGGAATGAGAAGTTGTGCTCCATTTGTGTAGTATATGTCAAAATGCATTCTACTATAACATAAATAAAATTTTAAAAAAAGAACAAGGCAGAGGTTATTTTGTTTGTTTGATTGATTGATTTTGGTACTGGAGATTGAACTCAGGGGCACTTAACCACTCACTGAGTCACATCCCCAGCACCCACCCCCTTTTTGAGTTTTTATTTTGAGATAGGGTCTCTCTGAGTTGATAAGGGCCTTATTGAATTGCTGAGGCTGATTTTGAACTCACGATCCTTCTGCCTCAGCCTCCCAGGTTTTTGGGGTTACATGCGTGGGCCATCATGCCTAGAATAAGAGTTATTTTGTATGTCAAGCTAAATAGGCTGAGAGATGTCCAGATAGCTTATGAAACATTATTTATAGGTGTGTATATGAAGGTTTTTGTCTAAGGATTACATGTGAATTTGTAAGATGAGTACAGAAGATAACCCTTATCAATGTACATGGACATCATCTAATGTGTTAAAGGCCCAAATAGAACAGAAAGATAAAAGAAGGGCAAATTCACTCCTTCTTCTTGAGCTGGGATATCCATCTTGTTAGACATTAGAGGCCCCTGGTTGTCAGGCTTTCAAACTCCAGGACTTGTACCAGCAGCCACCACTCGCCTTCCTTCTCAGGCCTCCTGACTCAGACTGAGTTATACCTGTGGCTTTCCTGGTTCTCTAACTTGCAGATAGCAGATTATGGCACTTCTTGGTCTAGACAATCTCATGAGCCAATTCATATAATAAGTCAATCTCTGTAACTTTTTTTCTTTGTCTCTGTCTCTTCTTCTCTCTATATACATATAAATCTTATTGATTCTGTTTCTCTGGAGAACATTAATACATGCTATCATATTGAAATTTAATTCTTTGATTACTGATACTCCCTTTTGTTTCCCTCAGAAAAACACAGGCTGCCTTATTCACTTGAAAATGTTGCATACCTGTCACATTGATCTTTTGTCCTTTTGTTTTTCTCCTCAAACTGTGTCAAAAGACCTTTTGACTTTCCAACTGGCAAAGGAAGAGAAAATAGGCCTATATCTTTTGTATCTCCTGCAAAGAGCTGGGGTTTTGTCTGGTACTTTGTGAAAATACTAGGTTCACTCTGTTAAATGAACAAAAAAATCAATATAGCATTTCAAACATAAAAATGCATAACATTCACTATTTTCTGTATAATTCAGAATCATATTTAAGTTCCAACCTTATTGCTAAAAACAATATAGCATGTAACTTTTTTGAATTTCTGTGTCTAACAGGAAATTATATTTACAATAAAACAACTCTTTCTATTAATAGGGTTTCTACCTTACCAGCAAAGATATTTAAAATATCAGTTAAGATTGCTTTAAAATTAATTGCATAAATTTACAGGCAACAACAGAAAATTATTTATGCTATCTCTGAGATGATGTATTAAAGTTTTTAAATGAATAAGTTTAACTAGATTTGCTGATTTTATCTGCTAGTGAATTAAAATACCTATTGATAAGTTTGACATGGATTGGACAATGGTCATGACATCATATGGTGAACCATTTCCTGTATTCAAGGATTCAAGAGACTGTTCCCTCTCCTGGCCCTTATTCATTAACTTGGCCCTCAAAAATCCTCATTTTCTTCCTTCATCAATAATATAATGTAGCTGGGTGCAGATTACACACCTGTAATCCCAGTGGCTTGGGAGGCTAAGGCAGAAGGATCACAAGTTCAAAGCCAGCCTCAGCAACTTAGTGAGGCCCTAAACAACTCCATGAGACCCTGTCTCTAAATAATATATTAAAAAGGGCTGGGGATTTGGCTCAGTGGTTAAGTGCCCCGGGGTTCAACCCCCATTACCCCCCCCAAAAAAAAATGTAGTATAGTTAATTGAAATCCACAAAGTATGTGAAGTTTCTTAGGAAAAAGTCTATTTAATATAAAATTTATGTTACTTTATTCCTATTGTATGTAAATTTTTTTCTTACAAATTTTCACAAAAAATTAGTATGACTAGACTTAGGAAATGTATGCAGTATAAGCCTTTTCCTAGAAGCAGTCAGGGACTAACAGTATTTTATATCATTTGGGTAAGAGAAGAAATTGCAAGTATTATTATTTTTTGTTCACTTCAGACGACCAAGTCAAATCTATAGTAGCTTTAAAAATGTATGATTCTACTATATATTGGTATAAAATACATGAAGAGAAATTCTGGAAATCAGACTCACATCCAGAGAATTCTGTTGTGACTGTTTTGAATGTCTCAAGTGGGCACTGAAATCCAAGGGTGCTGACAGGGTCTCTGAATTTTCTGGACAAAACTGAGATCCAAAGAGGAACTGAGAATCACTGAGAGCAGTATAATCAGTCTGATTATTATTCCAGTTAGATGACTTAGTAGTCCTAAAATTAAGCAAGATAAATATATTAAGTGGACATATAACCTAAACAATGAAATCATAATTTACAAGTGTTTACTTCAGAATATCCTGGGCACAGGGCTAACTTACTCTGACTTTTAAGCCCTCTGTACATGGCCAGTAATATGTACAAAGAAGCACAAGAAAGGAGCTGGAGTTGGTCACGGTGGACCTGGCCTCTAATCCCAGTTAATCAGGAGGCTGGGGCAGGAAGATTGCAAGTTGGGAGTCCAGCCTCCACAATTTAGCAAGGCCCTAAGCAACTTAGCTAGACCTTGTCTCAAAAAAAAAAAAAAGAAAAGAAAAGAAAAAAGAAAGAAAGAACAAAAGAAAGAAAAAGAAAGAAGGAGGAGGGAAGGAGAGAGGGAAGAAGGGAGTGTGGATCTGGAGATAGAACTCAGTAGAAGAACACTTGTCTAGCATGCTCAAGGTCCTGGGTTTGATCCCTGGCACCACAACACACACCACACAAGAATATTTTGAATGCCACACATTTTTATTATAACCAGTGTTAGAAATACTCAGGCTCTGCAAGAAATCAAACATGTGTTTGAAAGAATGTGGGCAAAGCAAACTTTACTTCTGCCACAAGACATGCTAGGGAACCTGGCTAGCAAGTACCCTTGGGTGGGCAATTTTATATCCCTAACACTGCATTGCCCTTTGCCCTGATTAGAGGAGTTGATTGGCTGATTTTACAATTAGGGCCAACAAGATAAGGGCTATAGTTAAAATGGTTACAATTGCTTTCAATTAGGACTAAATATTCTTTTTTTAGTACCTGGGATTGAACCCAGGGGCCCTTAACCACTGAGCCACAGACCTAGCCCTTTTTATTTAATTAATTTATTTATTTACTAGTTGTAATTGGACACAATACCTTTATTTATTTATTTTTATGTGGTGCTGAAGATCAAACTCAGTGCCTTGTACTTGTTAGGCAAATGCTCTACTGCTAAGCCACAATCCCAGCCCCATTATTTTTTATTTTGAGACAGGGGTTCACTAAGTTGTTTAGGGCCTCGCTAAGTTGCTGAGGCTTTGAACTTTCAATCTTTCTGCCTCAGCCTCCTGCCTTAGCCTCCTGAGTCATTGGGATTACAGGCAGGCACCATCACACCCAGCAGCTGGAGTGACTATTATTTCCATGGTACCTAAAAATTGCACACACAATCAAACATATATATGAACACTGACTTGATTTTATTCCTTACTACTTCAATAGAGTTGCCCCAACTAAGGTCAGTTTCCAAATGTTGGACTATGTCTGATTCTCATAGGTCCAATCCGTAGGCCCAATGCAGGGTAAAAAGTCATTGCTCAGTAAACATATGAATTAACATCACTTTTGTAATCAAAAAATGGGAAAAAGACACAAGAAGGAGCAATGGTGACAGAGGATTAGAAGAGATAGTACACAGCATTTCTACCACTACAACCCAATAGGAAGGGGACCTTCTTTCTAGAATCAATAAGAGTCTCTCTTTTTTAATTGTAGATGAACACAATACATTTTTTTTTAATTATTTATTTTTATTTGGTGCTGAGGATGGAACCCAGTGCCTCACACATGCTAGGCAAGCGCTGTACTACTCAGCTATAACCACAACCCCTAAGTTATCTTAAGTATCAGAGAATATAGCCAAAAAACTTACCCTGGGCCTGAAGGAATACTGAGCATCTCTTTGATGTTCCAGACATTAAAATTCATTTCTTATGATTATCTCTATTAAAAGAACAGAGGAATATTAATTAAGAAGGTTAACATGATATAATATTTTCCAAAGAAAAGTAATTTTACTAGTAATCTTACTACATGTAAATGAGGACATTTCAGCAGTTACATTCCCATCCAGTTAATGAAAGTTTGTGTTACCTATGTGCCAAAAATAGGTTATCTTCTATCATTAAATTGCACACAACTGGGTGCAATGATGCATGCCTGTAATTCCAGAGACTTAGTCTGAAGCAGGAAGATTGCAGGTTCAACAGCAGCCTCAGCAACTTAGTGAGACTCTGTCTCAAAATTTAAAAAGTAAAATAAAAGGTCTTGGTGTATAGCTCAGTGGTAGAGTGCTCCTGGGTTTAATTCCCAGTATTTAAAAAATGTAAAAAGAAATAAAAAAGAGAGAGAGAAAAAAATATACAAATTCCCACTTGACACCAGGGAATGCTCAAAATCACCTATGAAACTGGAAATTTGCCTTGCTTTGCTCTTTGCCCTTTTCTCTTGTTGTCCTATGAATAATCTGCTTTTAGGAAAGAACCAATATACCTTATCTTTCTTTGCTTGATGCAATGAATGACTTAACCCATTACCTCTCCCAAGAAGACTAGATTTCCTGAGACCATAAGATATTGGAATGTCAAGAGAGATGCAGAATTTGGGGAATTAAGGAGTCAGATGAAGAGGGAGTGCATTGGATAAAAGTGCCTTCCCACACCTCTTAAAAGCAGTGGCTTCTCTACCTACTTTGCTTTTCTGCTCAGTGAGTACTGCATATCATAGGTCATTATGATAACCATACAGCCTGAATTTTTTGTTAAATATTTTTTAGTTGTAGTTGGACACAATATATTTATTTATTTATTTATTTATATGTGGTGATGAGGATCCAATCCAGTGCCTCACACATGCTAGGCAAGCACTCTGCCACTGAGCCACAACCCCAGGCCTAGCCTGAATTTTATAAGTCTAATTTAGAAATTTTAATACATTTTTAGTTGGACACAATACCTTCATTTTATGTATTTATTTATTTTTTATGTGGTACTGAGGATTGAATCCAGCGCCTCACATATGCTAGGTAAGTACTCTACCACTGAGCCACAACCCCAGGCCTAGCCTGAATTTTATAAGTCTAATTTAGAAATTTTAATACATTTTTAGTTGGACACAATACCTTCATTTTATGTATTTATTTATTTTTTATGTGGTACTGAGGATTGAATCCAGCGCCTCACATATGCTAGGTAAGTACTCTACCACTGAGCCACAACCCCAGCCCCTAATTTAGAAATTTATCTTTCCAAACTCACAAAGCATTCATATTTATCAGATAACATTTTACCACTGTGATATCAGAAATATGATTTTTTATCCCTACACATATGGTAGAATAAACCATCAAACATTAAACACTGTTTCAACACAGACCTAACCTAGATAAAATGAAACAGAAGTTCTAAATAAATATTTTAATGTATGTAAAATTTTTCTAATTTTCTAGAAAAACAGATGCATTTTTTCGTGTTTATAAATACTTGTTTTACATGAATGTTAAGTACAGACCATAAGATCAAGGGGCTATAAGCACTGCCATTTAGTTTTGTATTGTGTGCTAGGTACAATGCTAGTGTACATTTATTTAATCCTCCCAATGATTTTTTTTTTTTTTTTTTTTTTTTTAGTTCTCGGCAGACACAACATCTTTGTTGGTATGTGGTGCTGAGGATCGAACCTGGGCCGCATGCATGCCAGAGGAGCGCGCTACCGCTTAAGCCACATCCCCAGCCCCCTCCCAATGATTTTTTGAGGCAGGTGTTATCACTATTTTTTTGTGAGCAAAGTTCATATAAGCTAATTAACCAGCTCAAGTCTTCTCCAATAATTAGGGGTAAGAAGTTTCCAAGCTAGGTGAGTTCAGTACAATAAGTCATGATATTTCAAGTACACCAGTCTGTTTCTTAACATTGGCTGTTTGAGGGTACTTTTTAGAACTAAGCATCTCTAATGTTTCCCTGTATTAATAGCAAGGTAATAAATGGAAAGGTTATGTCTTTTGAGGCACCAGACCAAGATTCAAATCCTAACTCTTCTGCCTACAAACTGAGTGAACTTGGGAAAATAAGTTAACTTCTTTGAACCTCAGTTTCCTCATTAGTTAAATGAACATAAGACAATAACTATCTTAAAAGAATGGGGAATGGAGGGTAGAAACTGGTGCCATGGCAAATGCCAGCAATCCCAGCAGCTCTGGGATGCTGAGGCAGGAGGATCCCAAGTTCAAGGCCAGCCTCAGCATTCTAGTAAGGTTTTAAGCAACTTAGTGAGACCCTGTGTCAAAATAAAAATGAAAAGGAATGGGAATGTAGCTCAATGAGTGGTTTAGTGTCCCTGGGTTCAATTCTTGGTACTAAAAAAAAAAAAAAAAAAAAAAAAAAGAATGCGGATAAAGATTCAAGAAGATGAATATGAGGTAGCTCAGTGGCAGTGGTAAAATGCAAGTTTAACATGCATGAAGCCCTAGGTTCAATCCACAGCAGCAGCAACAAAACAACAACAACAAAAGTAATATCTAGTACCTGGTATGGAAACTGGTACTTATTAGCTGCTTCTTAATTACTATCTCAGACTCTGGCTTTACCTTTTTCAAATGAATCTATGGTTTCCTTGGGCTGACCACATTCACCTGCTCTCAGTTCATAGGACTCCATATAACAGATCATAAACTCTCACATTCACTCCAGCAGCAAAAAATGTTCCTGCAGAGTTGAAACTGAGTATTACAGTTAATTTTTTGGTCTCAACCCTCCTGAACAGAGTTTAGATAATTTCTTCTTTGTAAATCAATGCAATATTGCTTTCCCACAAAGCAAATAAGTATGTATTTTTTGTTGTTTGTTTTTTATGGTAATGATGATTGAGCCCAGGGGCACTCTACCTGTAAGCCACATCCCAAGATCCTTTAAACAATTTTTTTTTAACTTTGAGACAGTGTCTTGCTAAACTTCCCCTCAAACTTGTGAATCTCCTGCCTCAGCCTCCCTAATCGCTGAGATTACTGGTATGCGCCATTGCTCCTAGCAAGCAAATAAATTAGTAAAATACCTCAGAGTGAGATGAGAACTGAAAAAAAAAAATTTAAAAACCCAGCTAAGCAAGAAGCAATGTTGTGTAATCCCAGCAGCTCAGAGGCTGAGGCAGGAGGATTAAAAGTTCAAAGTCAGCCTCAGCAATTTAGAGAGGCCCTGAGCAACTTACTGAGACCCTGTCTCAAAAAGCAGGTTGAGGATATGGCTCAGTGGTTAAGTGCCCCTGGGTTTAATCCCTGGTACCAAACACAAACAAACAAAAAACCCAGTTACATTACTAAGATGGGTTCACTGGTGAATTCTTTGAAACTTCTAAGGAAATAATTATACCAATTTTCTCCAATCTCTTCCAGAAGATAGAAATTCTGGGGATCCTTTCTAACTTATTCTATGAGACCAGTATTACCCCATTCTAGACAAAGACATTACAAGAAAACTAGACCACCATCACTCATGAGCATACATGCAAAGTCCTCAACAAAATATAATCAAGCAGAATCCAACAATTTAAAGAGAATTATAAAGCATAACCCAGTGGGATTCATTCCAGAAATTCAAGGCTGTTTCAACATTCAAAAACGAATTGATGTGGGCTAAGGTTGTGGCTCAGTGGTAGAGAATTTACCTCACATGTGTGGGGCACTGGGTTCGATCCTCAGCACCACATAAATAAATAAAATAAAGGTATTGTGTCCATTTACAACTAAAATTTTTTTAAAAAATGATCCACCACATTAACAGACTAAAGAGGAAAAATTTCATGATCAGATCAATAGATGCAGAAAAAGAAAGCATTTAACAAAATCCAACACTGATTAAAAAAAAAAAAAAAAAAACCTCTCAGCAGCTGAGTGTAATCCTAGCAACTGAGGAGACTGAGGCAGGAGGATCAAAAATTTGAAGTCTGCCTGGGCAATTAATTCAGTGATACTCTGTCTAAAAATAAAACAGTCTGGAGATGAAACTCAGTGGTAGAGTACTGGCTTAGCATATGCAAGGCTCTGGATAGAATACCTAGTACCAAAGTGAGGGAGAGCCTCTCAACAAACCAGGAATAAAGGTGAAAGTCCTCAACTTGATGAATAGCTTCAACAAACCTAAACTAACATCATATTTAATGGTGAGAAACTAAAATTTCCTGCCAACATAAGGAACAAGGCAAGGCTTTCCCTTCTTATCACTCCTTTTCAAAAGTTGTACTAGAAGTCCTAGATAATAAAATAAGACCAAAAAGAAAAGAAGTAGAAAGCACCAGAATGGGAAGGAATAAATAGGAAAAAATTGCCTATTTTTAAACCTTTTTCATTTATCCATTTATGAAAACACACATAATGTTTAAATATATTACTTTATGGAATTTAAGAAGTCAAAGTACTTGTTTTTATATTTAGCCGTTGTTGTTTTAGCATTTTACTTTGCAAATTAATCAGATGTCTCCTTTAACAAACACATTAATTACCTATTTTTTAATATTTATTTTTTAGTTTTAAGTGGACATATATTTTTATTTTATTATTATGTGGTGCTGAGGATCAAACCCAGTGCCTCATGCATGCTAGGCGAGCATTCTGTCACTGAGCCATAACCCCAGCTCATGATTGCCTATTTTGAAAATCTAAAAGAATTAACAAAAATATTTCTAGAACTGATAAGTGATTATACTGAGGATACAAAGGATAAGTGATTATACTGAGGATACAAAGGATAATCACTTATCAGGATACAAAGTTAACATACAAAATCAATCACTTTCCTATATACCAATAATTAACAAATAGAATTTGAAATTTAAAAAATAACATTTATATTAGTACTAAAACATCACTTACAACTCTGACAAAACATATGCCAAATATATGAGAAAAACTATAAAACACTGATGATATAGAAACTTAT